GGGCATGGACTATTAAGAAATATCTTGTCTAATTTTTAAATCTTTGAGGATTTTTGAAATAAATTTCTGTAACTCATTTTTTGTTTAATTCCATTATGGTCTAAGACATAATTTGTATGATTTCAGATTTTCCACAGAGATTTCCTCTATTGGCTCAGGGGTCTCTCTTGGTGAATGTTTCACAGGTATATGAAAAGAATGTGTGTTCTGGTGCAGTTTCCTATATATATCAACTAGGTCCCATCGGTTGGTAGTATTTTTAGGTCTTCTGTATCTTTACTGTTTTCTGATTACTTGGTTAATTTTATAATCATATTCATATATTTTTGAAAAGGAGAGTATAACTAAGTTTGGAATTACATAAAAGTGGTAAATATGTTTTATAGTTATTATCATTAATACACTCAAATTGTGTTATAATGTTGATAGCTGGTAGTATTTTTGGTAGCCAGACTAAGGTCAGATTAACTAATGCATCACTGATTCCAAAACCATTGGCTTTCCAGTGAACAAACATGTGAAGTGTTGTTATATGCATTATAAGGGATTTTGGTCTGTCGTCCTAGTAAAATATGTGATTTGGTCACACAGAAGGTTTCAAACACCAGCTGTGATATTTAATGTAGCTATTGGCTAACTCATTTAACCTGGCCCTGACTCCATTTCCTTACCTACAAAATGGGAATAATCATAATCACCATTTAGAATTGTTGTATTAGAGATACATACATATTCAGTGTAGGCATTTAATAGGCAGTAAGTAGTAGGAGTAATAGCAATAGTAGCAGTAGCAACACTAGTAGTAGTACTTATTATTTTAATTATTTATGTTATTTAGAAATATTTAATACATATTATTATTTAATGTATTATTATATCTGTTGGAAGGACTCACCCTTTTCTTTCAGTTTCCCAATTTCTAGTTGAGCTTTCTCAAGGGCAGAATCTAAAAGAAAACAGGAAGAAGATATTTGTGTAAGAAGAAAATGAGGCCTGGGGGCATAGCTCAGTGGTGGAGCACTTGCCTAGAAGGCACAAAGCCTTAAATTCTGTAGTCAGCACTGGGGGAGGGGCAAATTAATGTTACTCAAATTTCAAATAACTTCTTTGTCTTTGAATTTTTTTTAAGTACTGGGATTGAATGCCTGTCCCCAACACAGGCTAGGCAAGTGCTCTATCACTGAGCTACCTCCCTCACCCCTCTCATTTTGAGAGAGCATTTAACTAACTTGCCCTCCCAGGCAGGCCTCAAACTTGTGATCCTTCTGCCTCAGCCTCCTGAGTAGCTGGAATTACAGAGGTGCACCACTGTGCCTGGCTTTTTAAAAAATGTTTATGATTCTAAAGTAACCTGTATATTGAATTTTTTTTTTTTTTT